TTTTTTTTTTTGAGACAGAGTCTCACCCTGCCACAGGCTGGAGTGCAGTGGCACGATCTCGGCTCACTGCAACCTCTGCCTCCTGGGTTCCAGCGATTTTCCTACCTCAGACTCCCGAGTCGCTAGGACTACAGGTGAGTGTCACCACACCCAGCTAATTTTCGTATTTTCAGTAGAGACGGGGGTTTCACCATGTTGGCCAGGATGGTCTTGATCTCTTAACCTCGTGATCCATCTGCCCTGGCCTCCCAAAGTGCTGGGATTATAGGCATGAGCCACTGCGCCCAGCCTGATTTTTCAGTCTTGCTCCGTTGCTCAGGCTGGAGTACAGTGGCACGATCACAACTCAGTATAGCTTTGACCTGCCAGGCTTAAACAATCCTCCTACCTGAGCCCCTTGAATATCTGGGACAACAGGTGTGTGCCACCACGCACAACTACATTTTTGTTTCTGGTCTTTTTTCTTGCAGAGACAGGGTCTAACTACAGTGCCCAGGCTGGTCTTGAATGCCTGGGCTCAAGTAATCCTTTGGTCTCAGCCTCCAAAAGTGCTGGGATTACATGTATGAGCCACCACACCTGGCTTGTTTTTCTGACTCGTTACTATGGTGGCTTTAAAATGTGTCCACTTGGCAGGCACGGTGGCTCAAGCCTGTAATCCCAGCTCTGTGAAAGGCAGAGGCAGGCAGATCACCTGAGGTCAAGAGCTTGAGAGCAGCCTGGCCAAAAGGGTGAAACTACTAAGAATACAAAAGTTAGCTGGGTGTGGCAGCAGGCACCTGTAATCCCAGCTACTCGAGAGGCTGAGGCAGGAGAATCGCCTGAACCTGGGATGCCAAGGTTGCAGTGTGCCAAGATCACACCATTGTACTCCAGGCTAAGCAAACAGAGCAAGACTCCATCTCTAAAAAAAATTACACACACACAAACACACACACACACACACACACACACACAGTTTACCCTTGTTCATTCGAGAAGGTGAAAAATGAAAAAAGGTCCAAAAATTATTTTGATACTCCTCCCTTCAAAGGATGGAACTAAACTCGGCTCCAATTGAGCATGAAGTGTACTTAATGACTTGATAGTATGTAACTTTTGAGACTTGGTCACAAAAAGATATTTTACATTATTGTCAACTGATTTTTGACAAAAGTGTCAAGATAATTCAATGGTGAAAGACTCTTTTCAACAAATGTACTAGGATAAGTGAATGTCCACATGCAAAAGAATGTGTAAAAGTTGGCTGGGTGCGGTAGCTCACGCCTGTTGCCCAGGCTGGAGTGCAGTGGTGTGATCTCGGCTCACTGCAAACTTAGCTTCCCAAATTCAAGAGATTTTCCTGCCTCAGCCTCCCAAGTAGCTGGGATTACAGGCACACGCCACCAAGCCTGGCTAATTTTTTTATTTTTAGTAGAGATGGGCATTCACTATGTTGGCCAGGCTGGTCTTGAACTCCTGACCTTGTAATACGCCCACCTCAGCCTCCCAAAGTGCTGGGATTACAGGCATAAGCCACCACGCCAAGCATT